TGTCTTCTATACTAAATCATTACAGTTCAGTACAGTGTACGCGCAATAGTTATTGCCGCCGTAGCGCCACTTTCAAAGGAGGGCGGTGCACGAAAAAAAAAAAAAAGGTATAAGCATTCCTAAAACCAATGGTTATGTTTGTGGACGTTTTCTTGAACTTTCTCGGTGAGCTGCACTTTTTTTTTTATCTGTTAGTTCAGCGCCTCGTCGGCACCAGGTGCGTAGATTGACTAACGTTTGATTGACGCTGAAAGGGAATACTGCAATATCGCCCATATATTACGTCTTGTGCCTGTATTGGCTCTCGCTGCTTGCACCTAGTGACGACGCCGTCAAGCAAAAGTAATGAATCTCGATGACGACGTTTGACGGTGTACTGCATGCTCACAAGGGTTCGTATTGCGGCACACTTTTCGGAACTATACGTCTCCTCGGAACACACCCACGCACGGGAGGCCAGTCTTCACATTTCCGCGGCTGTTTCCTTAAAAAGCCCGTAATAATAGCGGTAAAATCGCCAAGTTTCTCTGGAACTCTAAAAGACGACGACCCCGCGCATACCTGGAAAGACGAGGCGATCATGCGACTGCCGTCGCTGCGACAGGAAACGCTCTTCGCGGGAACAGCAAGAAAGGGTTGCGACACGGCTAGGCAAAGCCGGCGCATATTTCACAAGCGCTTCCATCTTTGTTGCTGTTTTTTTTTCTTTTCGGCTCTCTTTGTTTTCGCCCTGTGTGTTCGTTAGCAGCTGTCGCGCACGCCAGTGTCTGCTCTTCTGCGAAGGCGCCCGAGTGAGGTCGTTTAGCCTTCGGCTGCGTTTCGTGTTTTTTCGCCATCGCGTGCGGCGCGCCACTGAATGAGTTTGCCCTGTCTCGGGTCCCGAAGGATTTTAAGTGGCGCAAGATTTGACTAACCTTTACCGTCGTCTCGCATTTCGCCCGATCGTAAAGGCCCTCCGCTTGTCTGGCTGAACGAGTAATGCGCGTCCGACTCCCCCCCTTCTTCCCTCGCCCAGCGCCATTACGTGATTGCGGATCGTCGAAGGAGCTGGCGCTTTCTTCGGGAATCGGAAATCTCTCCCGCCTAATGACCTTTGTTCGCTATTAGTATATACACGGACCACGACGACAGATGGTACACACAGAGTGAGAGAGAAACAAGGATTAGAGAACAAGCGAACGGTAAACGCCTAGGTGCGCGCATCACCTGAAAGTAGTGTGTCTAAACGAGCGCCAAAAGATGAAAACAAGCTGAACAGCATTATGTATGTGCCTGTTTATTGAGCGCGCCACGAGTAGCTGCATTGTTTGCCTTAATGTTGCCGTCGTTTGTACATTTACCTGGTAATACAATTTTTAAAGGCCGTATACTTTATTTTGGTTCCACGCCGTCCATTTCCTAACTTTGTCATTTTTTACGCAGCCCGCGCCACTCAATTTATCTTGACTCCTCATTCGGCGCTGAAATGTTTTCAGCGCGCTTCCGTTTCCCTTTTGCCTACCTGGTAAGGCTATCGCGTCATGTGCATTTGTTTTTCTGTTGTTGCCTCTGCCTTGCGTGGAGTGCGCTAGAAGTAGAACTATTATAAGTTCAGCAGCGGCAGCGACTTTCCTCCGTATTCGCCCACGAGTTTGCGCACGCTCGTTCCTTGCATTTCTAGCTAGTCGGCCTACGCCCTGCGTTCGTGTGGTAAGTGCATTTGCATGCATACCTGCGTGTCTGGTGTTAGTGTATATATGGCGACGGCGCGCACCGCGGGATGCTCTCAAGGGCGGCCGCACCCCTGTACGGTTGTCTGTGCTCGGCTGCTGATGCAAAGGTCGTGGGAGCGAATCCCGGCTGCATCGGCCGCATTTCGATGGAGGCTGAACGCTTGATGCCAGTGCACCTATAGATTTAGGTTCACGATATGGAACACCAGCTCTCCAGTATAGGCGCCCCCTTAATCATATCGTGGTGTTGGGACATTAAGTACCATTAATAATAATAATAATAATAATAATAATAATAATAATAATGATAATAATGTTGTATGGCACAGTTGTTAGACCATTGGCAACTTGTCTGCTCTTCATGTAAGTCACTGTTGAGTCGAAACCATTCCTCAACGGAACGAAACTCTGTTGTCACCGCGCACGTCTTTGAGCCAAGAAACGAGAGCTTTCGTAGCTTGCGGGTGTGTGCGTGTGTTTGTTCGAGTAACCGGTGTCCGACGTGTAGCAGATCACTGCATAAGTTGGCTTACGTGCGAAACTCTTTCAACATTTACCTAGCTTACCTGTGAACTGAAGTACCACGGTGCTGTCTCACTCCGGAAGATGGAGCTGGCTTGCGGCTCTGGTGGCCAATAATGACGCCGCAGCTCTGGTCCTTAATAACTCTCCATGGATTGATGGTCACAAAACCTACTTGCACGCGTGGGTCATGTCGTGCGCTGGTTCAGTGCGATAAGACGGCGCGTATCACGCAGCCTATCCTTATGCTGATCGCCTTCGGGGAATCGGTGAAAAGGCAATTCATCTTCAAAGTTCCCAGAAAGGCGATGGATCCTGACCGATCTGGCGCGTGGGCGCACCGCGGAGCCCGTCCACCCACGCGGTGTCCTACGCAGCGGTCGCCTCATACGGGCGCGCCTAAGTTTGGCTTACTTGATCGTCATCGCTCGACGTTATAGCTATGTGCGCGATCCGTGGTCTCCTGTGCCGCTGCTCTTCTCGAAGAACAGATTTCTTCTCAGTGTTCCTGGACTCTTGCGGCGGTTCCTGAGGCCAGCTTTGCTTAGTCTGGGTATCGCCGCCTTGCTCTCACGAGCAGCTAGTCATTCTACATTGCGGAATAGTCGAGAAGCCTAAGTGCGGTGGGTCCTGGTGTAGCCGCTGGCTGGCTCGTTACGAGCGTCTGATTTGTGGATCGTGCAGAAACAGGCAAACGCAGGCGCCAGCACATTGTGGTCAACGCTTGGATTTATCTCTGTCTGAAGACCCAACATTGCCGAATGTTCGTCGATCGCAGCGCATGATTGCCATTGTCGGAGGAATCATCGGCTTCAATAGCCACGCAAACAGAACGCAGGCTCCCTGTTTTCCAAATAACCTATATACCTTGTGGCGCTTTCAATGCTCAGGTGTTGACTGTGGTCCGCTGTCAAGAAGGAAACATTGACCTTAGCCACAGCTTTCTACAACGTTGTTGATGCCGCGCAAATGGCCTTCGGGGAAATGAGATAGCTGTCACCCGATCACTTCGGCGCCAGCCAGCTTTCCGATCCATCCGTCGCAACGGACTTCCGCAGTTTTCCAAAGAGTGCACCGCGCGATTTTGCCGAGTGTTTCAGAATCCTTTGCGCGTGTGCCTTTCCGAGCAGCCATCATGTGTTTCGCACTGTTCGCCGACTGCGGTTGTTCCTCCCGTTGTGCGGAAGCGTTCCAGTGCGGCGTGCTCGAGTTCGCGGCTCGGCTGGAGATGAGCGCATACCACTTTCGCGTCGGCGACGTCCCCTGCGTCCTCTGGACGTCGCAGCTGACCGCCGCCTTCACCACCGGTCGCTGGTGAGTGCTGATCACAGTGGTGCCACCGAACTTGCGCGTCGTCCCCTGTCGCGTGTGATTCTGGGTTGCCCGGTGAAGTACTTTGTTTACTCGTTCGGTAGGAAGTGCGGCAGCGCGAAACACGGCTGTAGCCATAAGTCGCCTTTCTGCCCGGCCACGTCGTTTAACGCTTACACACCTGCAAAGCACGTGGGAATTGCATTATAGTCCTTGGTCATTAGTTATAAGAGAACCCCCCCTCCTGGTCAATGGGGGTTGCTTTGTGTAAAGGGGGTTTCTTGTGTAATTGTCAATTAAAAGGCAAATATGTATGGGGAGGGGTGAGGTGGGGGAGGGTCCATAAGTTTTGGAGCGGCCTGGCTGACTGCGAACCTCTTCACCATAGTAGAGTCTTCCCTCAAAGATCGATAATGTTTATTTAACTACTGCTGTTTGTTTGCATCTCTTGTGAGAACATTTGTGCACCCGAAATTTACTTTGGGCTAAACATGTTCTTGGGACAGATTGCAAGGTTTACCAGCGTGAAAAGCCGAACGCTGAAAGAAGCACGCACACACAGGAGGACCTGTGCTGTGCCACTGCTAGTTCATCGCCATGTCATCACTGCAACTAGCGCTGTGCCCTAACCGGTTCTTTGTATGCGTGCTCTCTTCGGTGTTCGTCTTTTTCTGCTGGTTGACGTTGCAATTTTTAGGCGGTTTACTTCGTTTCTCTGTCGCCTTCGAAAACAGTTGATCAAAAAGATATGCAGTGGGGCAATAGAGCGATTGATAGGATTTTTCGTTTTGTGCTCTGCCACTGTCGGTTTCGTCCACAAGCTCCTCTATAAGCTTTATTTTTATAGAGGAGGTCGTAGTTTCGTCGTTGATTGCGGAATTGTTGGTACCTTCGTTAGGCAAGGCCGACTTCCAGACACAAACGCAGTATTCTGTATGCTTCATAGAGCTGCGAACGCCGAAGCCCGTCTTCTGCGAATCGCAGCGTAGAATTATTGTTGACGACTTTACGGGTCCTTTGTTCTCCTTAACTTCGAGCAATGGTGCACGGAAAGGTGAACTTTTGTAGTAACAAGAACAGAGAAACAATGGCCGACTGCTGTTTTATTTTGCCCCGTGCCGCATACAGTTCTCCTGTTCGACTTAGGTCGCCACACTATGAAAATTTCATCCGCCGCACTGTAATGACTCTGGTTATTGGTTGTTGACCCGGAAATCGTGAGTTCGATCGGGGCCGCTGCGTTCGCGTTTCGATCGTGGTGAAATGCTGGAGGCCCACGTATGATGCGATGTCAGCGCACGTTAAAGAACCCCAAATAGTCTAAATTGTTAGAGCCCTCTTTTTCAAGGTGGGGCTCATAGCTATAGTGAACTGGGTTTTTGAGCCGTCGCCTTTCTCTACCTGCTCTGCGCTTTGAAAAACCATCTATGAAGTGAACGATGTCTCGTCTCGCAGGTCTGCGCTGCAGTCCCTGCACAAGGCGTGTGCCAAAGCGCGGGAGTTCAACTACTTCGAAGGGGGCGGAACCCACCAGTGGGTGCAGTACTATGCCGAGAGGATACAGTCGGACCAGTCTTGCCTCAACGAGTGGTGCGTAACTACGTAATTAACCCTCGCGGTCGCCAACGGCGCACAATGGCCGTGTTCAACACTAACTGCAGTGCCTTCGCTCTCTTCCTTTATTCCCAAAGGCATGCGATGGACGACTTGGTGTCCAAGAGGCCCCCGACGCCCGATTTTGATCGCTCACGGTAAGACTCTTTTCTACGTTTTCTGTATGTGGTAACTTTGCCTGCAGTGCCCTCTCTTTATTTTTCATCCCATCCCCATTGGGGAGCGGACAGCAGGGAGTGGTGCAGTTTGATGACGCATCGTACCGACTCGCTTACTACTCACACAGATTAGCACACTGGCTAGTGTTATGTGGCTGAATGAGCACGAATATTAACTGGCTTGGCTTACTGCTGACAAACGTCAGCTAAAGTTGGCTAAGTGGTCGTAATTATTGGCTCATGTCCTCGTCCGTTTTCAACTAAGTCGTGTATGTTGTAATCAAAATCTTGTCACTCTCGCGTATACATAAGGGCCACAACTTGGTTCTTACTTTTGCTTTGTTTTGTTTTTCTTTGGGACCCCTATGTGGTTTGCCACTTCATAAAAGGTCAGCTACTTAGAACTAAGACATTTAAGGGTTGTGTTTCTTCTTTACCTGGGGAAAAATGAACTGTTTTGTTAATTTTGCTTGTGTGCATGTTGTTGCGAAAAAGGTCGCGCTTGAAATAATTTTTATATATTTTTTTACTCCGCAAAATGGGGCGTGTTAAAATTTTGCTACTCTTTTTTAGTAGAGTGCCCCAGTGACAGTTCTTCACGTTCGGAACATTCTATCATACTTTACTTACTTTTGAAGGCAGCAGTATCTTGTTGAAGCTCGATATCTTTTGGAAAGTTTGAAACAAATAATATGAAGCTAAGGGCTTCTGTGATTTTGCCTCAACCTCTTTCCCTGAAATGCGCACTGTTAGTATGACAATCAATGAATGATGTCTTCGTTTGTAGCAGTAGCTTTCCATCCGGCCTCTTAGGCGCTGCAGTGAAGAACATTTTAGGACCTTTGTACCGGCAACGCATTTTAACTGATTTTGTTATTGCTTCAACGGCTCTGTTCATCTATAGTCTAATTTCGTGCAATCTATTCTTCGGTTGCTTGCAATCTCTTTCTCTGTGTGTGTGTGTTCCTTTCTTGCGTCTCCAATGTATCTTTTTTTTTTCTTGTGCCTTGGTTTTCAGCATTAGCTTCACTGCCTCACATGCTAGTGCTGCAGTCAGTGAAATGACAATTCACGATTGCTGTTTAGTTGTTCCCTTTGAAAGTAGCTCTCGTAAGATACTGCAACTGTTCCTGCAGCATAACACATTCGTAATGCAGTCTGGGAAAGTGGCAATGCCAAATTCTTTGTAGTTTTATATATGATGTTGTTTCCTAGTTGTGGTGATGAAATAACTTTCTGATGATATCTTCAACACCTGTTGTTATTAATACTTAAACAGATCGTTTTGGAGTAAACAGATCGTTTTTGACTGGCCATAATACTAAACATATTTTATCTGATAAAAGTATTTATTCTGGAGGCATTTCAAAATGATTTGAACAACCACTAAAAGAGCAGGGGTTGATAACGTGCAGATTTATTTGCTGCATAACTAAAATATATGCTGTGAGATAATAATATGGTGGGATCATTATATGATGAAAAGGTAGAGCGAAGATCTCCAAAGTTTTGGTGCTTTGAGGAAGATGCTGAAGTGTCTGGGCTCTTTCTGCGAGAGCTTCTATCTTGATTTCCAGCTGCTGCTGTGATTTCAGACTACGCGACTCCCCTTTTGTCTTGATTGCATCATTAAAAGACAGTGCGGAAAACCACAAAACACGCAGAAACGGGACTGGCACAGTGCTGGCTCTCAACAGTTTTTATTGTTAAAACAAATCGGCTCTGTGCGTGTCCGGCATTAATGCTCTCAATCAATTTTGCATCTTTTGTTATGTTGGCTATCCCATTTACACTATGTCGCTGTGTTCATACGCTTTCTCTGCGTTACCTTTGCAGGCCGTCACAGAAGGAAGAGACAGAAGTGCTCATCAGGAGCAAGTTGAAGGAGCTCATGATGTCAGTGGACCTGGACGAGGTGACCAGTAAATTTGTGAGTTCTATTCCTTGCTTATACATTGAATAGAACAACACCGCGACTGAATTGTTTTTGCAAATTGCCGTTTCAAAAATCCTGAAGGCCACCAACTTTACAGTGAGTGCGAGCGAATACCACCAACCTTATCGAGCTGGTGGTTTTTTCATTTCCAGCTCTTATTGCATTTTGCAGTCTTTATAGTTCCCACAAGAAAAACGATCATATGCACAAATTTTCGTATAGTTTTCATGTGCAGCTCTACCTTCTGACAAGAAACATGCACCATGTAGCAGTTCTTTTCCCTTATATGGGTTTCCTCTTATGAGCAGGGTACCGTGTTCTCACTTTCTGATCAATGCCTATTTCAACAATAGCACATCTTCTGTCTGTTATGCCCAATTGTCTGTGACAGTAGTGTCTCTACAAAGGGGTTCAACTGTGCTATCTTGCCCCGCCGCGGTGGTCTAGTGGCTAAGGTACTCGGCTCCTGACCCGCAGGTCACGGGTTCGAATCCCGGCTGCGGCGGCTGCATTTCCGATGGAGGCGGAAATGTTATAGGCCCGTGTGCTAAGATTTGGGTGCACGTTAAGGAACACCAGGTGGACGAAATTTCCGGAGCCCTCCACTACGGCGTCTCTCATAATCATATGGTGGTTTTGGGACGTTAAACCCCAAATATCAATCACATATCAATCAACTGTGCTATCTTAATCTTTATTAACCAACTCACAGAAGGTGTTCGAAGTGGGAGACTGCCTTACATTGCTTTTAAAAGTGTGATATATAGTCCTTACTAGAAACATTTTTTCATTTTCTGTGATATAGCAAAATCATGATGGCTCACCTGAAAGTCGATTTTTCTAATAAGCATATTGATTTATGGGTTTAGGCCTGGTGCCATTTTTAATTAGAGCCTATGTGCCTAAAGTCAGATTATCATTCTTTTAACTGTGCTCGGTTACTTTCTGGAAAATGTTTATGAAGAGCACTTGTTTGCTTTCATCATATGCTATGAATAACAGCTTTCAATCTAACTTTCTTGTTTAACAGGCTGATCAAAGTATACATTAATGTAGAAAGTTGTATGAGTTGGTGGAATTTGTGATGAAAAGTGGCACATAACTAGTCTTTATGCCGATGCCTCACCGTTACGTGCTGTTTTTCATCATGAATCGGGTATCCAGTTGTATTGCACTTTTGGGAAAGGAACAACAGAACAGATGCTGTGCTGAAGTTCTTAAGGTACAAATATTTGCACCAAATGTCAAAACACACATGGCATGATATACAACAAAATATTATGTGATAGTTGTTATCGGTTCATAAATCATTCGGCATATGTAGTAACTGCATGATTGGTATGGTGTTCATTCAGAGCACAGTGCCTCTCAACATGAGGCTTACTGATTGCGAGTATTTTTGAAAGGTGAACAAAAGTTGTAAGAAATTAAGAAGTGTATAGCTTGCATGATACTCCAAAATAATTTTCAACTTTCTTCTTCTCCAAAGATTTCCAAAGAGCATTTAGAAAATTGCTCCAGCTGTTGCATTGTACAGATAGCCACTGTATTGTGAAAACAGCAGAAGCGAGGGCTAACCAATGTTACGGGCATTGGCCCTGCAGATGCGGTCCCGGCTAGAGGAGGAGCTTGACATGAGCCTGCAGCAATTCAAGCCCTTCATTGATCAGGAGATGCTCACCATTCTGGGCCAGATGGATGCGGCAACGGAAATCCTCGAATACCTCTACCTTGGCTCCGAGTGGAACGCCTCAAACCTGGAGGAGCTCAAAGACAAAGGGCAAGTGGCTCTTAACACGTTACAACCCAGATAACTAGGTGGCATTCGAAAGCGGACTTAGCTCATGCTCAAATTGCTTTGACAGTAGTACTTATAGGGATGGTAAAGAGCCAAGTGTAATGTATCTTGTTCACACTTGGCTGCAAAATAACCTTTTGCAGTTCAAGTAGCTGGTCCACACTGGTGGGCAGGGCAGAAACAGGCAGGACTTGTTCAACCGCTCTTAATTACTTTATCTACACCTCCCATTAACTTCATTGCTGTTCATTTTGTGAACTCTTTGACTGCAGACAATAGGTGTCGCAAATCTTGCTATTGTTGCTAATGTCTGTTTGCATGATGAACACAAGGAGTTTTTGCGTGTACTTGCAAGTAATTTTTTTTTCAACAAACTAAGATGCAAGGTTTTATATATTATTCCTCGCCATGGCTTCATGTGTCTTCCTTGGGGATGCCATTTTACAGGGTTGGCCACATCCTCAACGTCACACGGGAAATTGACAACTTCTATCCAGGCCTGTTCGATTACTTCAACATCCGTGTCTATGATGACGAGACAACAGAAATGCTCAAACACTGGGATAAGACCTACAAGTATATTGCACAAGCCAAGTAAGTTTTCTTTCTGTGTGTGTTTTCTCTTGCATCCTGTTTCTTCATCTGTTAAGCACTGCTTCCAATTGAAGCCAGCTTCAAAATTGTAGATGAAAGAACCAAATCAAAGGCCACTCCAATGCCATAGCCAATGTTCTGCTCTGGAAGTTATAAAATATTGACCAGACATTGTTTTTATGCGACTTGTCTTCAATAATGTTTCTTGGCTTGTAAGCTGTATAATAATGGCGGAGCAAGGCGATGATGTAGGCATTGCTGGGAGGTTGATGTATACTATGCAGTGTCGATCAACAGTTGTTTTTTGGCAACAGAAAGCTTGATAATTTTAACTTCCTTTGGTGGCCACAATTCTAGAGGCAGGAAGTGTCGTAGACACCACATTTTAGGCATCGCCTTCTAGGAAAATAAATCAGTATAAATCTAAGGAAAGATTGTACAGCAATGAGCCGCATTTACAGCAGTTTCTTATAATCAAAAGTAGTTGAGCAGATAAAAATGTAGATGGATAACATTGTAACATTGTATTCGTTTGGAATCACTGTTGCAAACGCCATTTCTAGTTCTGCTTTCCCAGTTTGCAAGGGAAGCCATTTTCATTGCTCTGACTACTTACTCACTGCTGCTCACGATAACTCTGATTACAAAATATTGGCACACTTTTTTTTATTATCCACTGGAAGCCTAAGCACTTCCGAGGGTGGGCTCTTCATTGGACTGTTAAAGGGCCAGTAAACAGCCCTGAGGTCCAAAAATTTCTAAAGGAGATATGTGTGCAGTTTTTTTTTTTTTTTTGCAAACATGCTGCCGCTAGAATTTTGCGGATACGTGCTATATTAAGGAAGTTACAGGGGTTAGAGCATCGGTCTAAGCTGGTTTCAAATTTTCGCCCGGCCTCGTCCCCCTTCTCCCTTCCATCAAGGGGAAGGCGTAGCCCATCGTCGGGACTCCGCCCACTTCGGCAACGTGACACCGCGTCAGCGATTGATGTCATCGGCGAACTCGATCAGTCGCAACGCACTTCTGCTTGCTGCGAAGCGTGGTGGTTTGTTTACCGTTTGCCCCACCAGCCGCGGGTCAACCGTATAAGCGTCAGGTGCAAAGTGTCAACCACAAACGATCAGGTCCCCGACGTACGTCACTGGATGGATTCGCTTCAGCCATGCAGCGCGCAGTGCCCCATCGTGAGGCACCTGGTGCCGATGCTTCTTTGCTGCCCACTCGCTTGATTTGCAGCCGACAACAGAGCAACGCTTTCTACCCGTGTTGCTTGTGTCAAGGGCGAAGTATGTTCATACATGTGCACAGGCACTGCAGTTGAGCGAGGAGTGTACACGTGCACGTGAAAACTGCGAGGCTAATTCTTTCACCGCAGTGCCGAAAAACAAGGGACAGTTTTGTGGCTGTTGGGTGGGCACAGGAACCGACGTTGACTTCACTACTGTTTTTTCACACCTGATTTAGACCAATCGGCGAGCTGCGTGCTACGTCACGTCGCCAATCGCCGAGTTGACATCACTGCCCGTGTAAGGGGGTCGGTCAGGCATAGGAGTGATGCACGGGAATTGTTTTTTAAAATAGAGGCTCTGCACGGCGCGCAGCACTGTAATATTCAAAAAGCATGATTGCTGCGGTCTAATCTACGAGTGTAAAAAAAAAAGTCGAAGCGTGTTTACTGGCCCTTTAAAGGAGTCCTGAAACACTTTTTTTTTTGAGTAACCATAGAAATAATTCACTGGGAAAGTGTATTGCCTCACAAATTCAATGCCGCAGAAATTTTAAGAATCCGTCCAGTACGAGCGGAGTTACAGAGATTTGTCACACGCTGCAGTCGCATTCTCTTTTCTCACCCCTCGACGAAAGCACTGGAAGCTAAGCAGGGAGAGAAGGGAGGGGCAAACAAAAAAACGTCACGCGCGTGCACCTTGTGACTTTGAGCACTTTTTTGTTTTTGTTTTTTTTCGAACACGTGGCTTTTTCAATGCGATCAGGCGCGCGTGCGCGTGGACAAGTGGCGTTTTTTTGCGGTGATCTCTGTAACGACCGAGCGTGCCATGTTCAAATTAGCCAATGTCTGATAGATGGGCTTACTACGAGTGATTTTTGGGCTTATTGTGTGATTCGTCGAGTGAAGAAAAAGCAATTTTTGGCTGGCTTCGATAATTTATTTTGCATTACAGGCCGCGTGCTGCACTATAATATTTGACTCGCATGTTGTCGGGAGCCTCTAATACCGATCTGACTACGCTCAAAAAGTGTTGCAGGGCCCCTTTAAGACTTGTTTCTTAATAAAAAAACTTGCTTTTGCTGTGTAGTTCAAGCAGGCAAAGCACAAGAGGCAGGTCTTGAAAATCTGTCTTGATTCTATGAATTCCTTGCAGAGAGCAGGGCTCCAAAGTGTTGGTGCACTGTAAGATGGGCATCAGCCGGTCGGCATCGGTGGTCATTGCATATGTGATGAAGGCCTACGGCTGGGATCTCCGTCAGGCCCTCGACTTTGTGAAGACGCGCCGCAGCTGCATCAAGCCAAATTCGGGGTTCCTCAAGCAACTTGAGACATATCAGGGCATACTACATGCGAGGTAAATGGCTATTGTGTTTGCTCGGTGACCTTGGCTTAAGAACCTGATTGCATCTTCTCCTAGGCACATGTCACATGAGTGAATTGTCATGTCTGTTTCACTATAACAGACTAGTTGAATGTTTATTGTGTCTTGCAGAGAGAAATACAGTGATGCACAATGCCAATTTTTGCAAGCAGATATCTCCAGGCAATTTTGGCCCTGCCACTGGAGCAACAATACTGACACTTTATGCATGAACGGTTCTACACATCATTTGATGTACTGCTGCCAGAATTAATAATCTAGTCAGGCTAGCATTTTGCTACATGCCTATATAAATTTTCTCCGTCAGGACACATGCGCGCTTTAAAGCGAATGTTTAATGATGCGTCTAACCTTAGATAGTTTCATATATTCAAAGAAGATATAGTCTATGGTAGACGAGTGAATTTGAATAGTCGACATGATAATAGTTTACATTCATTACTTCAAGTGTACTTGGGCATCCCCAGCACAAATCTCATCCTATGCACCTTTGCAATTAGTGCAGTTTGATAGTGCTGCATCGTTCCAGTGCTAATACTACTTTTTCGAATTTCTTTTTTTTGTGCAGCAAACAGCGACACAACAGTATCTGGCGCTCCAAGTCTGAAACAAACCTTAAAGACGAACAGCCTGATCGTGGGGTTGGCAGGCGAGAGTGCCGTACAACAGCCTCACAGGCACTTGCCTTGGGAAGCAGCAGTGGGGGTCGGAACGGCACGACTGACGCCAACGGGGCCGTAAAAGTCGGGGGCAGGGGTGGTGGTGGCTCCAACAGTCTACTGGTGCCTGGTAGCGTGAGCCGGCCAAAGTCATGGTCCCCAGATGATCTCGCATCCGATGCGTTCTTTGCTGCTAACAACAGCAACAACAACTCGGACACCATATCCAATACCTGCCATGGTAAGGGGGTGGTGCCCATTGACTGCTTTCTCATAGCTCTGTGTGTTGTGTGCCTGCATTTAGGTATGCAGCATGTACACGGCTCATGGATTCAAATGCGACAACTGAGGGCAATGTAATGCAGATATTTTCACCGTTGGTAGTCTGCCTCGCGTTCGCGTAATCTTGACAGTTATTCCAAGTAGTAGCATGGGCCAGACATTTTAAAGGTTTTGATATACTTTTTCTATAAGTGAGCACAGTACAGTAAAATTTCAATAACCCGTTTGTCACAGGACGGGCGAGAATGTCTGAGTACATTGAATTTCGTTTAATCAAATACACTGTGAAAACAAAAAGAAAATGCACTCTGTGCAGACAAACCTTTGTTTCATAAAAAACTGCGTTATTTTGTCTGCGTTGTCATCGAAATTGGCCAGAACGATCTCCTTCAACCTCATCAAGTGGTAGTGTGCATGCTCACTCTCCTTCAACCTCATCAAGTGGTAGTGTGCATGCTCACTGTCGCAAGAACCCACACAAAGTTCCTCAAGGACAGCAAGGGCTTCGTCGGCTTCTTGCACAGTGCAATGTTGCGTCACCATGAAGCGCGACATCGGCAGCAATCTGCACAAGCACAACCACAGAACAAAACATGCACGAGCTCTCATGCTGCACGCCAAGACGCAACAGAAAGAAACCAGCAGCGTAGGCGTAGCAAGCAGCAGCGGTGGCGGTGGTTAGGTGACTGGCGCCACCTAGCCACTTCTTCATTCATTACCATCATGATCATGTTTTCCTGAAGTTAATTTGGTTTCGATTTCTCCAAAACTTCTGTTTTGGCATTGGTTACGACAAGCAGTGTTTGAGCCTCCAGGCTGCTAAGATGGGGCTACTCTAAACATGGAGTCCCGATAGCCCTCTCCGGAGTCGTCCGAGTTGACCGGTGCGCCGTTGAATCCCCTGAATGAACATGCATTTGGCACCATTGAAGCTTGGCCAGAACCGTGCTGCGAGTCTGAGTAAACCAAATTTTCTAGTTAACGAGATCTGGTTGAATGAAATTTTACTGTGCTCTTCATTGTTTTCTGTTTATTGAACTCCTTTTTTTTTGCTGTTAAATTGTAAGAACGCGAGAAGACCAGAAATACATACTGTTTGAAAGTGTTCTGTGAATTGCCTGGATCGGGAAGTCTAGTAGGAAGCTTAAATTGCATTCATAGCATTAACAATGGCTAACTGTTGAAATCAGCTACATTGCCCTCCATGAGATGGTGGTAGAACAGCGGTGCAATTATGTACAAATTCCAAAGCCGGACAGGGGCGGTCTGTTTCATTGAGTCTCACGCGATTGGCCCATTCGAGCTGTGAGGAATGATGTGACGTTCCATGTGACGTGGGCCAAGGTGTCACGTGACTGTTTTCCTCCGGTTTTCGGACGAAGGCGAAGGAACGGTCGGAAAGACCGTTCGAAAGGACCTGTATCGATTGAAATGGCTGCAAGGTGGCATGGATTGGACTGATATGTAAGGGCTTCGTGACTTTTCAGTATCCAGGCACTTAGACAACATGGCGTTTCCCTCTGCCACAGTTTTTTGTCTCGCCTGCGCGGGAGCTGTAGCGGCGGCGTTACGGCGGGCCTCGTACACATGCCTGCGCCACCAGGCCTGCCACTTCTCCGCGTTTTTCCGCGCAGGCCCTTCATGGTTCAGCGCGTCGCTGAGCTCTTGCCACAGCCGCTGCCGGTCGGCGACAGTGACGCCGTGCCGCAGCTTGATGGCTTTCGCTGCGAGCTGAAGATGTTCGTCCATAAAGCGCGCTGATTTTCGGAAACGTGGATGAGCCGCTGCTGCTGTTGGCTACTGATGCCATTGCCCTCTGCCATGGTTGCGCTCGACTGAGCCAACGGCTTCAAAAGTTACGCCACAGAACACCTGCGCTGTTTAGGCTTGAATAGTGGTGGAGATATGAGAACAATAACTGCTCCTAACGGGGTTGTACTTAGCGTCACTACTTACCGTCCTGGTGAATTTAGCGTCATTTCAAAACAATAACAGAAAAAATATGTTTAGATTGTGCCGTATTTCTTATTCAATGTTTGAAAACTAGTGACAACACATTTTAATAGTGAGCAATAATAGTTAAACATTTTTCAACAAGTTACAAACACTTTTCACTTTGCTATACGGTCCCCAAGACGACGTCAAAATGATGACGCAGGCCTCCACTTCCCTCATTGGCTGTTCCCTTCCCGTCGTCGTCGCGACCGCTGCGGACGACCGCCCACTTTTTGACGTCACCGACAGAACGCCTTCGTCCGGATTTAGAATTTGTACATAATTGCACCACAAGTTTCCACATACAATTGCAGAAGAGACAGTGCTGTTTTAGGCTTTACAAAGTACGCTCAAAATAACATATTTTGCCCAATAAGGTAGTAGCAGCGTTGTCTCGTCGCATGCTTTTAGCAATCCGGATTCTTCCGTTCATCACTGGATAAAGCTGGTGAAGTGGGAAGTCTGGGCATACGCCACCATTCTGTTTGTGATGGCTGGGAGGACATTCGAAAAGAAAGCTGAATAAGGAATGAAGTGGAAGGCATGGAGGATAGCATGTTTCAGTCGGTACATGCTCAGCTAAATCAACGCTCCTTGAAAATGATGAACTACCAGCATAAATAATGTTTCAAATAGTTATGTACATCATTAATTTCATTGGTGATTAGCAGAATTTTGGGCATATTAGAAGTTTATAGGATTGGGAATCTTCTTGTTAGACCTGGGTGCATATTTTTATTACTGTGAATCGAAAAAGCTGAAAATGAAGCATAGTTAAAATGGGGTTTTATTGTGTCTGATAATGTGCCTTTGCTTCTCTGTTCTAGGGGCCATTGCTACCGGAAGGATAAAACCTCGGAGACGGATAGGCCGTCCCCGATATGGGACTGATCCGTTGTGCTACACCATACCGCACACCAGTACAACATCAACACTTGAGCAAGTCCAGGCCACAGAACAGGAGAAGAATGCAAAAAACGCTGCTGCCAATGGCATGAAGGCAAGCCTTCTTGCTGCGACTCCGGTAACGCCCTCCAAGTGCTCACCTGCTGTTGTTGCCATTACTGACGATGAGCAGGACCCTGGCCTGCGTCGTGTCGCTTCAGTCAAGGACCGCATCTGCGAGCTGGAATCGCAAGTTGGCACCCCAAAATCAGTGGCGACTGTAGCAAAGCAGGTGACAAAGACAGAAATTCTTCGTAGTGGCACTGTTGACACACCAGCAGTGGCATGGTCAAGCAAACCGCAATCTGCATTCTTTGGTGGACCTGTGAAAACTGGCACCAACGACGAGAGCTCAGTAAGCTTGTACAGCTGCCTACCGAGTTGTGGCGGAGGTGAGTCATCGTCACTGGAGCTGCTGCGCGATGTGCAGCCCGTGGCGTCCCAAACCAAGCCGCTAACCCCAAAGCACATGGCTGTGATAGTAAAGTCGTTGCCTGCACCTTCGACCTGGACACTGGGAGGAGGAGCTGGTGACTCTGATAAGGAACCAGAACCGGTAGTGATGACAACGCCGCCTGCTATGGCGAAGGAGGCCACCTTTTCTTCTGTGTTGAGAAGAAGTGTGGAAGACAGACTGCCCAGCTCTCAAGGTCTTGGGGGCATCACACTGCAAAGGTCAGCGACTGATATAGGCCTGCTGGCACCCTCTAGTCAAACAGTCTGCCGGCCGGCGGGCCGCCCTCACCCTTTGCTGCATTGCGACTCCGACGATTCGGTTGTGGGCTCTGCAAGGCCATTGGCCGAAATTTGTAAGCTGCAAGTGGGTTTTGGTGAGGACAGGAGCCAAGGCACCACATTGGAAGCGCACAAGGAGGCCACAGGGGAAATGGTGCCACAGTTGCCTCTGGTCGCAGAGCTTCAGGTAGATGGCAAGAAGACCCTTGAAGAACGAATGGGAGCTCCAGCAGATCGTACTGGAGTGCTGCCAACTCGCTGCAAGCTCCGCAAGACAAAACCTTTCTTAGAAGAAAAGAGCTTCGCCCGTGCCCTCTGCCTTGAAGGTGGTGCCTTTCCATCACAGACACGATCCACACCTTCCACTCCTCCGGAACAGCTCCCTGATGCTTCTTCACCTAGCAGGCAGATTCTGCGCTCCCAGAGCCTGCGATGCGAGCACCGGCCGAAGTCCCTTGCACTCCCTGCAGCATCGGCGTGCATAAGTGGGCGAAGTCCCCCCAAAATTCTCGCATTGCAATCCACTGAAGCTCAGCCTTTAACAGCCTTTTCAGCCAGTCCAGAAATTAAACACAGCATGAGCACGCCATCAGTGATGGAAGCCGTTAACGAAGTTCTATGTGAGACACGCCAAGTCATCTCCAATGCCATGCACCTTATCCCATGTGCTAAGACGCCGCCAGAGACCTACTCACCACTGCTCTGTTCTGGTCAGGGTCTAGAACATATCGAATCAGACACCAACCCTGCATTAGAATCGAGTGAAGTTCCCCAGGTTGGCATTGTGCGGCAGCAAAGGGCAGTGTTAGAAGGGCTGCAACCACCTCGATGCAGTGCAGCGGCATTGCCTTCATCCATCAGCACCGACCGGAAACCTCCAACGGGAGACAGCATGGGACGCTCTAAAAAGGAGCAGGCACGCATCATCAAGGAACTCGGAAGTACCATGCTTCCCAGCGTCCCTGGTGACTGTCCAACTTTCTGCGGCAGTAACACCACCACCGATCAGCAGCAGCAGCCGGCCGACGATGAATCTGCAGGCGGCGTAGTCAAGCGGCTAACCAAAGAGCTGGAGGCCAAGGCACGAAATGGTAAGACCAAACCTGCTGGTATCGCCGAGAGGCTCGTCATCGTCGAAAGGAGCAGCGTGGACAGCAACGAGCCAACAACGGGTGGCGGCAGCTCGAGCACGCCGAACTCTCCAGTTTGCGAGCGCCACGGTTGTGCTCAGCCCATCCGCGGTCTTCGTGCCTTCTCCGAAGGCCGGCCTGTCGGTCTAAACGCACAACCTGCAGTTCCGGCCCCGCCCACGCCGAGTAGGTGCACCAGTCTTGATGCCGATAGGCTTCGGAAGCTGTCAGCCACTCGCAGCCTAACGGCGCTGCTGGCAAGGGCGCCGCGGGCCGGCGAGCCCCCGCCATCGGCGATGGTAACGGCCACACCCACTGTGGCACTCATTGCCACCATGCCAGCGCCAGCACCTGTCAGCAACACTACTGCAGCTTTGCCTGGTGGCCTCCAGAGAAAAGTGCGCAAGCAGCAGGGCAAAACTCACCCACTGAGCAAACTGACCGTGCGGCAGAGGCATGCCAACCCACTGTACAACACAATGTGATGATCCTTGCCCCCATCCCCACCCTTTTACATTGTGGTGTATCTGTGAGTGTGTGCATGCATGCATGCCTCACTTTTTCCTGTTTTTCCAACTCTCCCCTACCCCAAATTTCCCCGTTTCATTCTTTGTTTCCCCAAAATACTTGCGTTGGTAGGTGTGGTGGACATTGTAAAATTCTCTGTATGTAGACTTGTTTATCCGCTTTTTTTGTTAGCTCCTGTGGATGTATGTGTGTGTGCATGTGTGTGTGTGTAATCTTGCCTCCAACCACCGCCGCTGTACAGGAAGAGAAATGAGTGTACGTTATTTTTGTTTGTGCGTGTCGGAGAAGGTGTTGCCTCGGTTTGACAACTTTTTTTTTCTTCTTCCGTGTGAACCGAGCCCTTCGTGGCAATCAGTCAAGGCCAGTAGTGCCCTGCCACACCTCTTCTAAAGCTTCCCCTTTTTCCTCCTATCTAACTCTTTCTAAGCAGTCTCTCTTCTCAACAGCCTCTTCTATTCTTGAGCCTGCTTACCCGTGGATGCCCAGAGCACATCCGCATGTAAGGAATAGCAATTTCACTCAACAAAGATGCGCTGCATGAAGCAGTCTTGACGAGGGCCACTCCCTTTTCTCCTGGGAAGTCTGAAAAAAAAATTTAGGTGCACAATTCTGGAACAAAAGCTGCTGCTTGCTGATTTCGGAGACACGCTTGCCTTACTCATGAGCGTACTGTGAAGTCTGGAGTGCAGCAGCTTATCTGCATGCTCATTTTCTGCATATTGCAGGAGCAATGCTTGTGCATAATATGACAAATGTTTTTGACTGCCGTTGAACAAATTGTTCCGAAGGTTTGTCTCTCAGGCACTTCGGGAAGTCTGGTTGCCAAGTTGGTCTGACTGGAGTTCAATGGTCTTGTCCAGGAAAACCTATTAGTACTCTGTGCTTTTAATACCACTTGCTAGGCACAAACACCGAAATTATGCTGCTGAGACCTTTCAAGCAGCTGTTGTTTCTTTTTGTTGTTGCTGTTTACCATTTACTGTCCGTAATAATGTCATAATGAATTAACTAAAAAATTCATAACCTTGCCTGAGGCAAGGTTATGAAGTACGTAGTTCAATGAAATCTACTCTGCACACCACAGTTCTTATGCATCTCGAGCTGTTGCTCGCACATTCTAAAACCAAGAGGTAGGGCTTCATCAGAACTGTACATAAATTGACCACTTGTTTTAGACATATGAGTAGCTTGAGCATAATATTCACGCAACTTTGATGTGGCTGTTCAGGGGTCCCTTTTGCCTCACTCATAAAAGGGGCTTGCTGGTGAGAACAATTGCGCAGACACGTCTTTATTCTTACGTATTTCCTTTAGGGGGTGGGAGGAAGGAGTGGGATAGGGTCAGTTTGTCTTGTGTTAATCTGCAGAGAAGTATTCTGGCAAAAAAGTGATAATAAGCGTAGCGATAGGAAGTGATGAGCAGTATACTTGGTGGGGCACTGTTCATCTGGCTTTCAGAGTTGTGGCATTGCTGTACACTCCTCATTACTTTCCGTGTGCTGTTTTCAACAAAACCAAGAAGCCACATAGTCGCTTATTGAGCTCTTGGACATTGCAAAATTTGCGCCTATTATGCTTGCTCTTATACATCAAAACTCTCATTTACAATGCTGACACTAGTATTACATAGCAATGCGGCTAATCGTGGCACTTCACTTTTTTCTGCTGGAGTAGTGTTGTATCACAAATTTTAATTTTTGTGCAATGATGTGTTGTCTCCTAGCCACAGCCGAAATAGACATAATACTTGAAAACCTCCAGCTAATTCACTGCGGACTTTGTTATTTACCAACTCTGAATTTAGCCCTGAACCTTATTTATCGACTTGCTTGTACCGGAACACTTTTCTGGTAGGAAACGTGAACCTGCTTCTGTTGCAGTCTGCAATCTTCACGGGAGATTCGGCTGAGAGTTTCTGTTAGATTATGCACATTTTCTTTTGCTAACGCATCAACCTGCCCTAATCAAGCTACATGAAAGTGCTCTCGTGAACAGCTAAAGTGTACTTGAAGTTAGTGAGCATATCTCTCCAACAAGCGCAAAGCACGGGTGGCTACCGTCGCACGCTCACCAGAGGCCACGCCCGGGGCCATGTCAGAAGTCGAGGAATGGTGCGAAAACAGAAGCATACTTGATCGATTGCTTCAGCAAATTGCTATGTAGCTTTGAGTGAAGCGTAGCTGTGAGCTGCATTTTATTTGCAAGGCTGCCGTTATTACACTGCCCGTAGAAGCGAAGTCGCTTTGTGCTACTTGCATAGTCTTCATTCTCTTCCATGCAGGCTATCGCTCTTTTGTGGTTTGCTCTAGTGAGAGAAACGCAGACACACGTGCTTGGTGCAACTTGCAACTAGTGCTCTGAGTTTCCATGCCCACCTTTTCTAGTTTCTAGGCAGATAGTAGAGACAAAAATGTGCCATACCATATTTACAGCCGTTGTAGCTTCGCCGCTCTTGTGCTTGCCGTCAACAGAAAGTTGTGTCTGCCTTGTTCCCTTTTCTTTTCACTTGTCTGTTGTTTTCATTTTTTTCCCATCCGTGTTCCGTGTTCTTCGCTGCATGGCGTGAAAGCTAGAGAAAAAAAAAAGAAAGTTGTGTCTCGTGCGTCTGACAGAATTTGAGAGAGAGAGAGGAGTGCTTGGAGGAATGAGGTTGGTGATGTGTACGACGTACGTGCGCTAGGCCGAAAGAAATTATTTAAGAAAATCAGAAGACTGTTCTTCTGGAATAAAAAATGATTTTAGCCACATTGTAGTCTTGTGTTTTCAGTTACCACCAAACTTTCGTGCTTCTGGTGACAGATGTGGGACAGTGCTCTCAAACTACTGTGTGAATTTTCTCCTGCTTCCTTAAAAAAATCACAGCTTATCAATACATGGATGAATGGATGATCAAACTTTATTTAGAGCCCTGAGAGATGCGACAAGCATGCATTGGGCTCTTCTCATGTTGGAACACCTGACAGCGGCATCGTTGGCTCTGGACTCCCCAAAGCCGATACCCTTTGTTGTCTTTCGATGGCTGTGCACCACTTGGCTGGGTTGGCTTGCTTCCCATTAAAGAGGGGCATCGCCGATGCATGGGCTTTAAATTAGCTGTTTCCCCGCAACGGGGGCACAAGCTGCTAGTGTTAGCATCTTTATAAATTTTATAAAACAAAGCCAAGTTTGGATTTGAATTTTCCTGTAGGACTCTACATGTTATGATGCTTAAAAGACCGCTGAGACCAAGTCTGAAACCATGAGATGTTTGTCGTGTTTGAGTGCCTTGCATACAGAGGCACTTCTGACTGATTATTAGTCGCAAACGTTGCTTTTAAGACATTTTAATTTTGCCTTAAACTAAGCGGGAGTGCTCATCTGAGTCAGCAGCATCTCCCGACGTCGCCACTGAAACCTATGACGTAGATCAACGCCCCTGTTGACCAAGGCGATTGTTGCTCATGTCACAGAAGATTTGCGTGGCGTGCACAGTACTATAGTTTACTGTACACCGTAACAATACCACAACTGCCACCAGGCGAGGGTAAGCGTACTGTTGTAGGGCTGCTCTCGAGAAATCTTTCCTGGGAGCGCGGTGTACGGATTTCAAAACAGCGCTTTAAACGTCACCACAGCTTGAGTGCATGTGAGCTCTGGGCCCGAATGTGTAGAAATGCGCCAGAAATAATAGAGCAGTAAACTTTGTACAAAAGCTTCGCTGGGACCATTGAAAAAAATCGCAGCATATGCACAGAGTGAATGATTATCAGTGGGGCGAAGCTTCGAAAGGTTTTGTCGATGAACCGTGAATCGTCCGTCTGTCTGTCTATCCTGCTTATGTGCCCGGACTGCACCACCGGGCCTGCGAATGCGAGCTCTTTCACCTTTCCGCTGTCGATGCTCTTCTAGAGTTGTCCGTGACTTACCCATGTGGAAGTGAGTGAATAAACTTGTATTGGGTCCAAGAAAACATGACGCGCTCCTGGCTAACCCCACGATGGGACCGACTGGTCTAGCCTGCCGACGCAATCACGGGCAGGCTGGGCGGCCTGGATTTGATCTTCGTGGGTGGGACTTAGCAGGAGCGCATCCCACTCTTCCTTGGTGGACCTCGGGCCCAACGACCCGCACTCCCAGATCAGGCGGCGCAATAGGGTTTTTTTTTTTTTTTTTTTTTTTTGCAAATGTCCGGATATATGCTATTGAGTGTCACCGGATTTGGGTATGAGTTATCTTGCAGGAGTCGGAGCGTGACTGCCTGCGGCTAGACTCTTCTCTATAAGTAAAAGAATTTCATTGTGAGTGCTAGGCAAGTTTCTGTGTCCGGGGGGGAAAGTCGTCTGATGCGAGGGTAGCTCAATCGGTAGAGCCACGCGCTGACTCATTGAGGTCAAGAGGACCCCATCGATTGGACCGACGTGGTACGGAAATAGTGGAGCTGCCACTGTTTTACCCATGTGGAAGTTATCAGTAGAAACTGGTGCGCGCGTGGTCGGCACCACGGCTGTGACGGGATGAACGACGTCATTCACAACGCAGCCAGTGGCGCGCGTGCTTGGGCACAGCGCTGAGAACGACATAACTGATAGCAGCCAATGAAGGCCGCTCGCGACACCGATGCCGAATGGTCCATACACAGTTTTCGCTGTAGAAACATTACCGACTCGCTCGCTGGATTCCGTGCTGACCGGTTGGGCCCTCGCGATCTCCGACGTCAGCGTAGCTCTGGCCGACTGGGCTGGCCCTACGTCATCTCCTGACGCCGATCTCCGACAACAGCGTAGCTCTGACTTGTCTTACGCCACCTCCTGACGCCGACAAGAGCTCTCGCAAGTGGTGCCCCGTCCTTGGACTCCTGTGACGGTGTTTCCATCTTTCCTATCTCTCCTATCCCTCATATGTCCTCGCTCGCTGTACTAGCGCATATATATATATATATATATATATATATATATATATATATATATATATATATATATATATATATATATATATATATATATATATATATATATATATATATATATATATATATATATATATACCTTTAATCCTATTCTTTTAATCCCTCCTCACCCCCATCTCTTGTGAGCCACTGTTGAGGTGTCGCACCCTGATGCATACAGTTACGGGGCTCACTTTTTTCTTCTTTTCCCTCTTATAACCACTTCTCCAAAAACATTACCGAAAGTGGCGCACCGGAAGTGTTCCTGGGCAGGCCGTCCGGCTTGGGTTAGTTTGTTTACAAACAAGAAACAACTTATTTGATTGATTGATATATGGTGTTAAACGTCCCAAAACCACGATATGATTATGAGAGACGCCGTAGTGGAGGGCTCCGGAAATTTCGACCACCTGGGGTTCTTTAATGTGCACCCAAATATGAGCACACGGGCCTACAACATTTCCGCCTCCACCGGAAATGCAGCCGCCGCAGCCGGGATTCAAACCCGCGACCTGCGGGTCAGCAGCCGAGTACCTTAGCCACTAGACCACCGCGGTGGGGCAAGAAACAACGTATACATGGTTTCAACGGCGCGCGCTGCGGTGGCCATGCTGGTGCAGTACGTTCGGAGCCGCCGTGGTGTTATTTGTAGTGCTGCGTAGAGTGGTCAGCGCTTGTTTGCACGAGATTTCAGGTAATCGTGGTGCTTTTCGTGTGCGATGCTGACTTCTTTTATTATTAAACAGCCGTTATACGCGACTCATTATTCGAATCTTACGAGGCCTGAGCGCCTTCGCTATGCCGAGCAGGTGGAAATGTGCGATAGCATCGACCCCTTCCCGCTGCGTTCGACCGGCGCGGGCACTTCAAGTGACGTGAACATATTTCCGGACATTTGTTACGGACGGAGACATCGCGAATCATTTTGTTCTTTTACGCTAATTATTTGACCCTCAAGGAAACGAAGGCGTTCAAGTCGACCAATGAGCATAATTATTTTACAAGCTGTTGGTTCAAGGGTCTGTCGGCTAAACAGTTGCAAGGTGACAAGGTGCTTCTGCTGGGTGAGGTAAGTTGCAGGTTGTTCTTTATCCTGTTTTTTATAGTTAAATAATGTTTAATCAATGCACAAGCCATTTAGTGCGACAGTCCACTCGGCTATATTTCATATCGCTAAACGCCATAGCGCCATCACGAGTCTTTTTTTTTTTTTAAGTCTCATATGACAGGAGCTGTTGGTTTGTTAATTCTGTAGGCTTGGCAATTTAATGCGCGAAGAAAAATACGGAAACGCGTGAAAAAGATTCATATCGTTTGCCACGTAGTTGTCAAGCGAAAATTTCGGTCCCATGCACTTGTCCTGTCGAGCAATAAAGGTCTGTTGTAACTGATCAAGCTTGTTGTGGTTGCTCGTTCACTAGCAAGAAAAACTCGAACAGTGACGTGCAAAGATGTCCCCATTGTTCATTTGTACCATGCGACACGTCCTTTGCTGGTGGATCATTCACAAAATTTGCGAAACCAGCCTCTGCTTGTGTGGATCCTCTACAAGAAACATGGCGTTGTGCTTTCAGCCGATTGCTCGTGCATGACAGGCGCTGGGGAGGCATGTTCTCATGTTGCAGCTTGCCAGTATGCTGTAGTAGCTGGCGTGCAGAGGAGAATTGTTATCAGCTACACGTCACAGAGCAACAGTTGGCTTCCTCCCACAGTTTCGATAGTCTGCCTACAAACGCAAGTAAACTATCCCATTGTAGATGTACGTCGTGTGCCCAAACAAACAAAGTGCGTGTCGATGTGGGCGCCACGAACACATGTCATTCATATCAGTGTCCAGACCAGCGTGTCTTAACGGCCCAGCCACAATCCACGCTGCTTCGCGCTTAGTTCTTTCGTACGGCCACAGTGATCTTAGATCGTTTTGGGGAGACGGAAAAAGTGAGTGTACGTTGGTTTCGCCCAACAAGTGTTTTTTTTTTTTTTTTTTTGGAATAGCCAACTACAGCGCAGATAACTATCGCGACGTGTCGAACTTTCCGCCAGCGTTCACACTGCACCGCCGCGGCCGCTGGCCCGCTGCACCAGCATGGCGGAATGGCATCCCAGGATTCCTAGGCTTGACGTCAGTGCAAGCTATGTATAGGTTCCGCCGCTTGTCAGCGTCAACTCTTCTTCCCGCGTAAGCAGTGTACTATGGAGCGTGGTTGGATAATAACACACATACTAAAATCTTGAGCAATAATTATGGTGCGCGTAAAATCATCTCTGCGTACACCAAACGGAACGACTTCGCAGTATACGGCGTCAAGGCTCTTTCGCCAGGCTGCAGGACACATCGTTTTTTTTTTGTCTTGCGATATTCAAATGCCATATGCATCTAAATATACAATCGTACTCATATCTCGAAGATGGATGTGTGAAAATGTCGACGGCCAATCCGAAGGTCGCGGGATTGTTCCCGGCCGTGGCGGTCGCATTTCGGTGGAGGCGAAATGGTAGAGGCCCTGTGTGATGTCAATGCACGTTAAAGGACACCAGATAGTCGAAATTTGCTAGCCATCCACTATACGGCGTCTCCCGTATCATATTAAGGTTTGCGGACGAAAAACCCCAAACATTATCTGCTTGAATATCTCATGCATAACTTACGGTCTTTTCATTTCTACCAGGATCTAACTGCATGTTATGACCAGTTGGCGGTCACTATCATATATAGGACGGCAAAACTTGTGGAGATCACCCATACTCGCTGAGAAAATGTATATTTTGCGCCTCACTTGAACTCAAATTCACCAAAGTTTTACTCACTCGGATTTGAACTCA